TAACGGGTGATTTTTTTGAGGTTAGGATTTTCATGCATTAGTATTTGACAGATCACGTGGGATTTCAGACATGGTGTCAAAGAGAAAGATGCTCAGTATGCTTTGACATTTCATCATGAATAGACTTACTAACGAGCAACGCTTGCAAATCATTGAATTTTATTACCAAAATCAGTGTTCGGTTCGAAATGTGTTTCGCGCTTTACGTCCGATTTATGGTCTACATAATCGACCAAGTGAGCAAACAATTAATGCGATTGTGACCAAGTTTCGCACTCAGTTTACTTTATTGGACATTAAACCAACCACACGAATGCGTACAGTGCGTACAGAAGAGAATATTGCGTCTGTTTCTGAGAGTGTTGCTGAAGACCGTGAAATGTCGATTCGTCGCCGTTCGCAGCAATTGGGTTTGTGTTATTCGACCACATGGAAGATTTTACGCAAAGATCTTGGTGTAAAACCGTATAAAATACAGCTCGTGCAAGAACTGAAGCCGAACGATCTGCCACAACGTCGAATTTTCAGTGAATGGGCCCTAGAAAAGTTGGCAGAAAATCCGCTTTTTTATCGACAAATTTTGTTCAGCGATGAGGCTCATTTCTGGTTGAATGGCTTCGTAAATAAGCAAAATTGCCGCATTTGGAGTGAAGAGCAACCAGAAGCCGTTCAAGAACTGCCCATGCATCCCGAAAAATGCACTGTTTGGTGTGGTTTGTACGCTGGTGGAATCATTGGACCGTATTTTTTCAAAGATGCTGTTGGACGCAACGTTACGGTGAATGGCGATCGCTATCGTTCGATGCTAACAAACTTTTTGTTGCCAAAAATGGAAGAACTGAACTTGGTTGACATGTGGTTTCAACAAGATGGCGCTACATGCCACACAGCTCGCGATTCTATGGCCATTTTGAGGGAAAACTTCGGAGAACAATTCATCTCAAGAAATGGACCGGTAAGTTGGCCACCAAGATCATGCGATTTGACGCCTTTAGACTATTTTTTGTGGGGCTACGTCAAGTCTAAAGTCTACAGAAATAAGCCAGCAACTATTCCAGCTTTGGAAGACAACATTTCCGAAGAAATTCGGGCTATTCCGGCCGAAATGCTCGAAAAAGTTGCCCAAAATTGGACTTTCCGAATGGACCACCTAAGACGCAGCCGCGGTCAACATTTAAATGAAATTATCTTCAAAAAGTAAATGTCATGGACCAATCTAACGTTTCAAATAAAGAACCGATGAGATTTTGCAAATTTTATGCGTTTTTTTTTAAAAAAAAGTTATCAAGCTCTTAAAAAATCACCCGTTATTAAAAGAAGTGCCACCTTTTTGTTGATGGTCCCAAAAAGAACCAAATGCAAACAATGCTTTGGCGAATATTTCTAAGAGAACTAAAGTCCCTGGAACGTTTTTCCAAAGAACAAAACGAGAACAAAAGTTTAAGGAACTTTCTCTCGAAGAACAATTTGGGAACTAAAGTCTTCTCTGAACTATTAGCGACGAAAGGCAGCGAGAACATTACATTAGTTTGAAATGTTTGAATATTAAAGTCAATCAAAAAATTACTGAAACATAATTAAGCAAATAAAGTCAACGACTTAAGCCACGAACGTTTCTTGCACAGAAAATAAAAAATTGTTCCATAAATGGAATGGAACGTTCCCCATAATTGTGTTCTTATTTTATCCTCCTTGAAACAGTGATGCCAGACATTCTCTGTTAAATATCCCACGGAAATGGGGAAAAAATCCCTCAATTACCCACATCTTGAAAATTTATCCCACAAAATTCCCAACGAATTTAAACATATACGTACATGTTTCAGTAGTAAAGAAGTAAACTTCATATAAAATAATAATAATAGTTTGGCGCTTACACATATGTGCTTTTCCTCCAATTTGTGGCGGTCCCCTTGATGTCACACAAAGGGGAGGGACCTACAGTTTTACGCCGACTCCGAATGGCGAGTGTATTTTTATGAGAAGCTGTTTTTCATGGCAGGAATACACTCAGAGGTTTGCCACTGCCTGTCGAGGGCCGACCGCTGTTAAGAATTTTTTCACTCATCGTTTTTCCCCTTTCATTTTTTTGCTCACTCACTAAGGGCCTAAAAGAATTTTTTGGTGACTTTAAAATTGAAGCACATTCATGTGCTATTTAACATTTCATCAGATAATTTGTTCCGCTTTTTACATGAAACACCAGTTACAACTGAAAAGATTCTTTCTTACTCAGCGCTTGAATTGGTTAACGTAAGAAAATTTTCGAAATTGTCCTTATACTTTTTAACAATTATATACCATTTCACTCCACATCACATCTTCAGAACGATTAATTACGTAAGAATGTCGAATATTCTTGAATTTTGATCAATTATGCAACAATAACTGCGTCAAAAGAAAATCCCTTATTTATATGAAGTGTCCCTTTTTTCCCTTTTAATAATTTTTGATGCAAAATATCCCTCAAATAGGGAAATTACCCACAATCTAGCATCACTGCCTTGAAAACGTTCACATTACTTTCTTTTTTATTTTATTCTCATTGGAAACGTTCCCGAAAATTTCGTTCTCATTCTATTCTTCTTGAAAACGTTCCTGAGAGTCTTGTTCACATTTGTTCTTAACGGAAATGTTCCCGAATCTTTTGTCATCATTTTGTACCCCTTCAAAGTGCTCTCAATACTTTTGTTTCCATTTGGCCCTTTTACTTGAAAAATAGTCGTAATTTTTTAAGCTAAATTTTTTGCGCGAAAAATAATCGTTATTTTTTAGTTTTATTTTTTGATCAGATAATAGTTATTTTCAGAGTTTTATGCTAGGTTTTATTTTTTGTTTAGAAAATAAAACTAAGTTAAGTTTTAAGTGTTTTATTTTTTTTCTAAGAAAGCAAAAGTTGCTTCTGGTGCTTTCGTTAAGGAGAGACAGTCAGCAAAAACATCGTCAAATAAACATCGTTAAAGGTAAATACTGAAAAATACTGTAATAGTGTAATAGTGATTTTTCTTCCTGTTACAGTATTTTTAAGCCAACTTTATATGAGCTATGTTTCCCGTTCTAAAAAAAAGTCTATAAATTACCCTGGTATACTAAACCCTTGAAACGCCTTAAGTACTTGAAGAATATATTCTTCAAGATGTACAAATAATCTAGTGATCCCCCACGCCGGAATTTCTAAATGCATTTAAACGGTAAGTTATCTTTTTCCTGACTTCTGGCTTTCCACTGATTACTGCACTTCCGCATTTCACAATAAATTCCAGATATACACGATCTACACCGATTTTTCAAAAGCCATCGACAAAGTATCACACTGTATACTTCTGCTGTAGAAGTTGGTCTCACTTGGTTTCCATGCGGCATTACTATTCTGAATCAATTCATGTTTGTGTAATAGGAGATGCTTTTTTTATGTTGTTAATGCCACTTTGCAGCCCTTCATTGCTTCTTCTGGTGTTCCTCAAGGAAGCATTCTTGAACACCTATTTTTTTGTTCTTTCACAAATGATATTGGGTCCTGTTTTTCTATCGCCAATTTCTTGTTGTATACCGATGATCTTAAAATTTTCGCATCCATTAAAAACTCATCAGCAGGGAACAGATTTTATGGAAATTGCCTTTTTTCTGCTAAATAGATAGAGTATATTCCATTAAGAATGTCCACGATTTAGCTTTCCGTGATTTCATATACTATACACATTTTATTTTGCCTTTTTTGCCTTTTTTCAGATATTTGCCTTTTTGTGCCTTTCCTCCAAACAAAAACTCCATATAAAATGGAGTACAAGAAATGGCTAAGAAATTTTCTTGTGTCAAATTACCTTAAGACAGTACGCAGTTCTTTAGAAATTTGCTGCGCTTTCTAATACGGTAAGGGTGGGTAACTCAGCAAATTTATAGGAGTTGACTCAATGACTCCAACTCACTTTAAGGAGTCAGCTCATTCAACTAACTCATTTGACTCTTTGTATGTTACACTCATTCGTATCGTAGACTCGTTTTGAGGCATAGATGCGGTATAGCGGCCGTTGAGATAAAACAAAACTTTAAAGTGGGCGTGGTCAGCTCCTTTCTACTGATTTGAAAGGTGTAATTTTTTTTGTGTGCAAATTAATAGGGCGGTGCTAGGGGGAGGGTAAAGGTGGAATTTTCAATATTTTCAAAAGCTTATATTTCGAAACCTATTGTACCGAATTTCAAAATGTGGATATGGTTGGAAAGGCAATTGATTTGATATGCACATCTTTATATATCTTACATACATACATATTTCGAGAAAAACTAAAAAAAAAACGAAATTATAAGAATTTGTGAGATTTGACATAACACCCGCAATACAAAATACATGTGGTTGTTGTTGTTGTATTCTTGCCACCACCTTGTATAAATTCGCCTCGTGCAAAAACAAAATGCAAGACTTTGCCATGCTAAACACTGTGGCGAAGCGAGAGAGTTATATGGACAAATATGAGCCACTATGATTCAATTGATTCATGTGAGCCCTACGGCATCAACTGAGTTACTGAGTTACATTTTTTTTGGACAGGGAGTCTGAGTTACCGATTCACTTATAGGAATCAACTCAATAACTCAACTCTGAGTTGAGTTACCCACCTCTATAATACGGTTTTCTAAAGATTTTTTTTGTGAAAAAAGAGTACACTTGGGGGGCGGAAACAATAAAATTCATCCGATTTCGATGAAATTTGATTTGTGCTCTCTATTTTAGTAGAAAACCCTAAATATAAAAAACAAAGGTTTACTTAAAAACTACATAGTTATAAATATTCCATATTCTAATTATGCTTGACGTGATTTTTCCTCTGTTCGAAAAATTATTTTCGTGAAATTACGCAAAAAGAAGCTGAAAATGGGAATTTAAGAAAGTCGAAAAATACATATATTTGCAAAGTCGCGCGAAAGGATTTAATTATATGCCCGAAAACTACTTGAAATTCTCTAAAACATGCGTATATTTTCACGACCTTTTACTAATAATCTTTAGCATCTGCATTTCCAAGTTAATTTTTTGATAAAAATAGAGAAAACACATTAAATAAATGATAAATTTATTCATGTTAATAAACCATGATACTTAAAGAACTCATTGCAGTTGAAAGAGAAACACTTGCTTTAATGGGTTCAGCGCCAAAGGCAAGTAAACTGATCACAAGGTATGGCACTGATTCTAGTAATTTTGTGGAAATGAAGCATTCGTATTGTATTTATGACTTTCACTTTTTCCTCTCTAAGCCCAATAAATTTTTGTGTCAACTGTCAACATGACTTTTTTCCACCTGCCTCCACATAGTCGAAACACTGTGCGACGTCATGGTTGGTGTTGTAAAAATCGGTTGTTGCAAATGCTTTCGTGTAATGCTTGCTAAACACATAACCACCTCGATTATGTTCGTTCACGTTCATACTCAATGTTAGCATGCATTCGACGAAATTGTGCGGCATTCACAAATCCGAGTACGAAGCCTTTATTTGGAGGCCTTACAGTAAATAAAACTCTTTCAAACCGCTTAGAGCGTGTTCAAAAGGGTTTTCTTCGGTTTGGCAATTAGCCCGGATACCCTTGAAAATAGGAGATATCGTTTAGCATGCTCATTTGTCGCCAAACTCATAAATGGGTCGTTCCCCTACTCTCCATAAAATTGCATGCAATGTCCCCTCCAGAATACTTCGTCCTTTTTAATTCTTTAATATAGAATTAAATAACTAGTATTTTAGTAAATTATTTTTTCTCAAGACAAGCATCATGAAATCCTCCGATTAATATTGTGCGACTTTGTTGCTCAGAACGAACCTCTTGTATTTAACTGCATGCTTAACCCACCATTTAAGCATTTCACTTGAACTCGTAGCCAATGTAAGAGATACATTTAAATATGCATAACTTATATTTAAAAGCTGTCTGTATGCGCCGCTTGTTCACCAAATGCACGCCTGTCCTTATGGTACTCGTATCTTTTGACATTAGAACAGCTAATTTCCGCTGTCATGTTTCACGCAATTAGCAACTTTTGCATTTTTAATCTCATTTGAAATGCATTACCTGCGCAAACCCACATTCATACACTGACACACACACACACAGATCACTCGCACACTCGATGCCCCTATGTGAATTCAAGATAGCGGTCGCACGACAGCCGTTGCATTCAAATGAAAAAACAAAAATAAAAAAAAAAACGACTCAACGACTAAATAGAAAGCGCAGGAAAAAAACAAAAAAAAAAAAGAAAATCGTGTGAGTGCAATTTGCAAATGCCACTTGCGCAGTTAATTTACCACTTTTTTATGCCTGCATGCCAAGTGCCGCTACTTCACTTCTTCGCGGTTTTGCCAGTAAATTCTTCACGAACGACCCCGGCCATTTTTTTGCACACATTTATGCATATGCAAAATTCGCATTTCGCATGCATAACTATGCGAGTG